TGAGGCTCAGCTATTTCAAGGTGTTGGAGCTGCTTCTGGATTCTACCTTGGCAGGCAGGTAGACAGCTCAGGCCTCTCTGTGTTCTTCTGTTTTTATTTCACAGAGACTAGCTCTTCTCTATGTGGAAAGGAAGATTTTGGCTTTCATTATCACCAGGGCTTGTGACATTTTTGTCCATCACAATCTCTTTAGAAAGCTGTGTCATATTTAGATGATAAATAAGAACATTTCTCAGTTTTCATTTATACCAGCAAGTACTCAGTGGAACTCTTGTTGGGTGGCAGTGGTGCTGGCAGGTCTTATAAATTTTTGACAGAAAAGAGAAAAAGGAAAATTTGGGACACAGAGTCACATACTCATTCTCAGTAGCAGCTTGGGCAATCACAATCAGTTTTCCTCATACTATTGGAAAGGCAGGTTTGGTTTGAGTTTTTTTTCAACTGATTGACATGTTGTGCTGGGACTCTGTGCAGACAGAGCTGCCTGCATAATTTTTTCTACAAGAATACACTGCCCAAACTTCACAAGACTTTTGAATCAATAAATCTAGTGATTTTTCACAAGTCACTCTAGAATAACTAACTCCTTAAATGGGGAAAACAAACCATCCAGGGTTACAGAAATGAAAATGACAGGATTTTTTGCAGAGAAAAGTACCTTCCTTCAAAGACACAGGTAGTTTAGAAAAATCTGTGTTGAAAAGATCTCTGCTTTCCATCTTGGCTGGCACTTGACAATGCAACTGCTCCATGTCTAGCTGGGAACTCTTCCTGGCCTGTGACCAAGTGTTTGAACAGTGGCTCAGGGGACCTCCTGCTCTCTGCCTGCCCTGCTCAGCAGTCAGAGAAAACACTGAGAGCAAATGTGATCTTTTCCCCACCACAAATGCAATCCTTTGGCTTTGTATCACTTTTTATTTGCCAGAAACTCCAGAAAATGTATTTTAAAAAAATCTTACCCAGGTTTGTATCCAACCTGTAAATGGTGTAATTGCATCTGAAAACAAGCAAGAATTAAATTCCTTGGCAGGTTTTCTTTCTTGGTTAAATCTCTCTTAGCTAAGGATAAATATTTCTTACTTAGCAAATATTGCTTACTTAGCTAATATTGATCTTCTGCAAAGGCATGACATTTATTTACATCAGTGCCGAAGGACTCAAGTCTAGTTCTCCATTTGAGTAAATGGTTTTAACAAGTACAGTGGTAGATAAATTATTGTATATGGTTGTGCCTCTGGACATCATTTTATCTTGCATTTTATGCTCAGCATGAACAACTGGTACTGATTTTGTTGATTCTGAGTTTGAACAGTACACAGCTTTCTCCCCCAGGTCTCTTTTACTTCTCATTTTACATTCTCTCTCATGTCCAAATTGGAGAGCCACTATCTGTCCCTATAACATCAGACTGGATGAAGCAAATTCCCTGGCTTGCCAGATTTAATTACTTTGTCAAAGGCAGATTCTGTATCTTTCTGAATGTTCTGTCTCAAATCCTGTAATAATATGTTCCCTTAGAAACTCTCCTCAAATATTCTCTTGTTACTCTCTCAATATCAATAAGAATGCATCTGAAAAGTTTGTTTGGCTTTGTTTTTATTTTTTTTCCCAAAAAAAAAAATTAATTTCCCAAAAAATAATTGCAACACTTGACTCATACAGTTTTGTCAAAGTTCCCTATTCACATAACAGCTCAATGGCCTACAAATTATTCCCATTTATAAGGGGTATTTTAAACTGATGACTGGAATCCAAGTTATCAGATTGCTAGACTATAGGAAAATTGGTTCATGCAAATTTCCTTTTAACATCTTAGTCTGCTGTTATGTAACAATTTTTGTCTTCCCTTAAGATGAATCAAGTTATAAAGAGCCTTTTTGTTGGACAAAAGCTATGGTCAGTTTTAACTCCCTTAATTTATGATTGCCTCTTGGTTAAAGATTTCTGGATACAAGGTCCAGAATTCATTAAAGAAGTTATAAATGCTAACCTTGATCTGCCCTTGCCTCTGGTGGTTCTTATATCTGCTTCCCTGCCCAGGGGCAAGGATACTAATGTTGAAAATGTATTAAATATGCTTCCACAAAGATTCTTGCTAATTGGCCAGATTTTCCCAAGATCAATAGCATGCACACTGGGCTGAACTCTAAGTTCTTGACCTATGAATGATAAAAAATTCCAACAACCAATACTGGCAGGTTATTAAGATGTCATCCCAGGATCTCAGAATATTTTTCTTATTGCTAGTTTATCCTACCCAAAACTTGAATCTGTAAGTTTCATGTCCCCTACTGTGTCCTGTGGCACTATATTATAGCCTTGGGAGTAGCTCATATTTTGTTCAAAGGTAATTTTATTTGGTTTTCTGGCTTGTTTCATGTCTCCTTCAATTTGTGGAAGCTTCACATATAAAATGAATCAAGGCAAGCTAGAGAGGAAATGCATGAACCTAGAAACTTTATGTTTTCCACCGTTTGTTTTGCATAGTATACTTTCACATTTTCTTCCTATCTTAAAATTATGGTTATGTAAACAAAATAATAAATTTTTTATTGTGAGCTTGTTTCCTCCTTTGTGTTAAACAGGAGCTTTACTCTGCTCTTTCAGTCATCCACTTCAGCCACCAGTAGGTGAAGAACAGTAGCATTCCACCCAGAAAAGTCAAACTTGAAACTGTATTTTTGCTTGGAGCAAGCATTCAGAATAGGATTGTTCTCAACTAACATAAAACATCTAAAGATGTCTAGATCTATGCAATTGCTTTAAGCTCCATGCCTGATCAACAGAAAAAAAGACTTATGTCCAAGCAGTGAGTCATCCTATCTATTTTAGGCATCTTAGCAAGATGCCGAAGATGCTTATTTTTCTTACTTAAGAGAGATTTCTTAGCTCTGTTAGATAAAAGTCTATCAAAGCCATCAGGAGTTAAATTTTAATTGGCATAATTAGATTACATAAAGTAAGATAAAATTGTATGAAATTTGATCAGATTATTAAAGGTGTTTCTTTGGATAACACTGGAATGAAAGATTACTTGATCTGGTCAGAAGAGGACACCAAAAAACCTTCCAATGTTGAGATTGTGTTCTGATTTTTAACTCCATACTTGATGAACTTTTTAGTATGAAACCTGTAACATTTCTAACAGTTTATCATAACTGTGTCATAGGAAATTATAATTCCTATGAAGAACAAATGATTCTTTAAAAATACTTCTGCAAAATGAATTTGTTTTCTTTAAACTGGAAATGTTTTGTTGAATTGGAAAGCACACACTGCAAATACTTTCTGATTCATCTTTAAGAAGAACCTGTATTGTTCTTTAAGGATCAGCATCTTTCTCACCTTCTGTTCTGAAATATGAGGACATAGATTAAGTGGAAATAGAAGTGAAAATGCCTGGTAATAATGCTGTCTGTTCAGCTGCTCGCAAGGGCTGCATGTCAGGAGAAGGGCAGAACCCAGGGGGAAGTGGCTTGGTGCTGTGAAGAGCTGAGTCCACTCTGAGTCAGCCTGAGCTGCAGGAGATCATGAATCTGAAAGCTTATGGGAAGAGAGGAAGAAAAAACCCCAAAATACAAAACAAAACAGAAACACTCCATATCCCACCTGTATTTAATAACTCAAAAAGAAATGCGCAATTTCAGGTAGCCATGGAATGGCTCTGGGCTAACATTAAGTGAAAAGGAACAGAGAGGAGACAGAGATTTGTTTTGAAATTTTTGTTGTCTTTTTATCAGGAAGACATAGTTATCTCCATTCCAAAAGTGACATTCTTTTCTAGTATAAATGCACTAGAAAATTCTTCAAGAGACTGAAAAAAAAAAAAAACAACAAACCGCTGGTTTCAAAGTGTTTAGTTAAAGGGAAAAATACAGTCAAATAAGCTAAGGACTTAGCAAAAAGAACAAAACATTCTTTAAAATCCTCAGCTATAGTCACATAAACTTTGTTTTTAGTAACAAGATACCAGTCTTTATAGGTCCTTATATAAAGAGCTGCTTTATAAAGAGTAGCTCAAGGTATTTTCAACATATCAGTTGGATCGATCAGAGCATTTGTGTCTTCTCTGGGAAGAAACTTGAATGTTCCTGAATATTGTCATAGTATGAATAAAACAGGCAATAGGTGTCTCTGAACTGAAAAGGTTCTACATAGTACCCAGTCAAATACTTAATGCACATTTTTCAAGTTTCGAAAGCCTTACCAAGCAATAGTCTTCTTCCTTGTTCTATATTTTTTTTATAAAGACCTAGGTTTGAAGAAAAGACAGTGAAGTCTCCTTAAGTTACACATTACTTTGATCTCAGTTAACCCTAAAGCTTGTGGGCATACAGCAACTTAAGTTTGCATACATAAAAATGAACTCTCTTTGGTGTATCAAAGATAGCAGTAATTTTTACTTCAGGTTATTTGCTTTCTGCTTTGGTATTAAGCCTGCTTTGAGCTAGACTTCAGTTTGCTTTAATTGCCCTCTTTCTTCTAATTCTATTTTAATTTTTAATATTGAAGTGATTCAGTAGAGTAAGGTAGAAGCAAAGGAAACACCCTCCTTTTCTTGCAATGTTTTGCAAAGAAATAATAGGCAGAAACCGTCTGTGACCATATTTTATGAAGGCTGGATGACACCTTGGAAAAGGTTGCCTGTGCCAAAAAAATTGCAGGTGAAGTTCTCAGTTGAAAACTGCTGAAAAAAATATCCTGACACTCCAAATTACTTATATAGAAAAACCCAAGCAAATGAACAATGGCATTTTAGTTTAGTTTAGGAAGAAGAATTCACACTGAAGAATAAAGTCGCTGACTTTCCAGCTATATTTTCAGTGACCAGTTATAAAATCACAGAAAAAAAAAAGATGAAAAAATGGACCAAGAAGGTCACCTATTTTATCTTTGGGTTACATCAACTATACCTAACCAGTCCTGACAGATGTTTCTCTAACTTGTCCTTAAAATCCTCCAGTGATAGAAAGGTTACAGGATTCCAAAGCAGTCTCATATACACCAATTTATTATGATAGATAACTAAAGAGTTTAATCAGAGATTACTTTTAATGCTCCAAAGGAAAACATGTTTTGAAACTGCCTGAATGTCATCCAAGCTGGCTTGAGAGAATCACAAGATGTATAATTGCAGTTCACTCATGGTCAAGGCCAGGACTCAAGGAAGTACATCTGCTTGCTCGAAAGGATGATGGATCAATTGCTGAATGCAACTGCAATAAGAATTACAAATTACTGGCAAAGGTACAGCATTAAATCCATGCAGCACCTGGTAAGTACACATGCACATGTAGCCTCACCAAATGCCAGATACCCTAATTCTCATTTATTGAGTGGGAGGAAACAAAGAGAAGACATGGAACACAGCCCAGTAATGCGGAACAGCTGATTAAAACTCTCACCACTGTTTACTTAATAATATTTTCACCTAAACACACAGAACAGATAAAATAGTGCAATCTATTATAATCTTGATTGTGCCAAGGATTTTGAGGAAAATATAAAAGGCTTTTCTTGGTGGTTTTTGTTTCTGCTTTTATATTATCAGGGTCAACCCACTGACAATCACATGGGAGTCTTACACTGAAAGTCAGATCAAGAGGAATCTGGAACTTTCATAAAAGTTTAAAAAGCAACCAAAGGATTAGGTGATATCCAAATTTCTCTGAACTTGATAGTAGGTTGGCTATTGAATGACTGGACTGTAAAATCAATACATGACTGATATTTTTCAGTTCCTCCATCTGTCCCAGTATGCACAGAAAAATCTTTGACCTGTCTTAGAGTCGTGAATTTGTACTCGGTCTCTTGTATCACATACTTCACATACATTCTGTTGTGACTAATACCAAATTCACCATGGACCACATCCTTTAGAAATTGTTGGCCAAGGGCAAATGTTGGCTCAAGGGCAAAGAGAGCAAGCAAGGGTTGCAAAGAGAACAGCAATAGTTGGTCCTTTAAATATATTTGGAGAAAATATTGACCGGGACATATTAACAGAAAATGGTCTATTTACACTGACTATACACTGCCTGCACAGGGACCATAATTCTACAAAAGAAGAATAGAATATTTTACAGATTACCTGCAAGACAAGATAGAAGAAGCTGGAGTAATTTGGGAGGAAAAGAAATTATTAAACAAAGGTAAAAATGAAACTAAGGGAGATACTGACATTTTCTGCAAATAGGATAGTAGTTTAAGTGTCAGTAGGACAATTAACCAAGGAAAGTTTAGGTTGCAAACTACAAAATAGCAGGGTGAATTAGGTAGCACTGGAAAATGACCTCTTGGCAGACAAAGGTTGGGGAAACCCTATCTCCAGGGTAATAGGAGACAGGTTAAAAAAACCTGTCATGGGTAAAAAACCTGACATGTTTTTTAACCTGACAGGATAAAAAACTCTGACTCCAGGGTTATAGGGTTTTTTTAAGACCCTGTTAAAACAAATCTCTGTGGGAGCTGCTTTAGGAATAGCTAATCTTTTCTTGGAGAAGGAGACCAGATCGACACCTGCAGCTCTGTACTCAAAAGAGTGAATTTTTAAGGGTAAAGACAAGTGAAAGAAAATAAGAGTTTTCTCCATTACTTTAACAGTCTGGAGCTAATGGGCTTTTCCATTACTGCTTGGTTGCAGATCATTATTGCTTTATAAACTTACTTGTGGGTTTGTCTCAAATGCAGAATCACTGGTACACTGTGTAGTCATATCCAAGTAGCAGAGAATGAAATCAGGACCAAGGTGCTACAGACAAAGCAGAGACTTTTGAACAACTGAGAGAGCAATATCTCTGAGTGTAGCTTGTTAAAAAGGCTGCATAGTTGTGTTAAATGCACGCAACATAAAATCCTTCTGAAAAAATTGGTTTGTAAAATATATTTCTTAGTCTGGACATAACTTGGGTTTTAAATCTGAGTCAGTGGGAACCATGTCAGCATGGTTCATTCAATTCAGTATGTCCTCTTGAGTCCTTTTGCCCCTTCACAAAGGACATGGACAAGCTGAGCTCCACTTTAAGGGATTTCATGGCTGTTTTCATAAAATTTTCAGTGGGGCAGTTAACCAAGTGAATGTAATAATCCATCTACAGCTCAATGATATTGCACAAGCAGGCAGGCTAGTAAATCTCAGACCAGGTGGAGCAGGCCAGTGTTGATATATTCACCACATGCTGAATGCCTCAAACACTTTGAAACACAACTGATTAATTCCCCATGAGAATGTGCAAAATCTGATCACAGATTATGGATAGAGGAACTATTTATTTTTGTAAACCTCATAGTAATATAGGGTCTTATTTTAAACCAGGATTTTTTTTTTTAATTTGTAAGATTTGAGTGCTGGGCGACTTTGCTTGTATATGATATGCTATTAGTGGCTTACTGAAGATATTGCTGGAAATGGGAAGAGGGTCAGGCATGCAGATTCTCTCCTTGAATAGTCCCACTGTATCTACCAGAGAATACGGGAGACACAAATGGACATTATTCTCATAGCCCTCTGAAGTGACTGTAGGCTCAACAAACCTGCTGCTGTTACCACAGCTATATCCCAACAGCTATACTAAGCACTGTCCAAAAGCAAGATAATGTATCTGGTCGTGTCTTGTCTTTGTGGAGGATTTTCTTCACAGCAGAATGCTGCACTTGGCAACGGACTGGCATTCCCTGCATGGCACTGTGGGGAAGTTAAAACATACCAGTTTTCATTCCCACTTAGCTTGGACAATCATAGAGTAGGAGAGCACAGTGCATCATGACCTTCGAAAATTGAAGGAAATCATTAATCTGTATGTTTTTCTCAGTCTATGAACATATCTGTGTTACCATGTGTTTAAGCAGCATGAATCTTTCCTTACATCTGTGCATTTAATTTCAATTAATTAGAAAAACTGCTAATCCTAGCTGGATTATGCATGGATTAAATACACCCCTAGTAAGAAGACTGATGTTTTTCAATGCCACATTTCACCACCTAATAACTGAATATTCCCTGTGGGTTGTATGTGTCTCCAGGAAAGGGTCATACTTGCAAGGTCAAAGCACACAGTAAAATTTAAGAATTATTAAGAATTATGTAATTTTAGAAATGTAAAAAAAACTAAAAAAGCACCATATTTTCCTTTTTTCTACCCTAACAAGAGCAATTATCAATTCTGACACAAAACAAAACAAAACCAATTCCCAGAAATGTTACTAAGAGCTTAATGAATGTATTTGAAAAAAATATAATGAACTAAGGAATAAGTGCCCAGTGAGCAAAAAAAGTAATGTTTCCCTACTTGCATAACTATTTTAAGAGAATTTTGCTGCTTAATGATCTCAGCCTATTTCTATTTCTAGTTTTGCAAGTACTGCTTTTTAGGAGTCTCACAGCATTTGATACTTTACAGTGGTGTGTGCTGTCCCAGATGTGTCGTTCTGCATGCTAAAATACATTTGCAGTGTTGCAGGTTTTGTTCTGCTGACTCTTAGCACAATATCAAAGGCAGGTGAATGCAGGATTTGGATAATAAATTGTTAACTACCACATCCTCTTTATAATCAATTTTTTTTTGTAAATATATGAACAATTTCAATATTTCATAGGCTGCAGTGATGCAAAATGCAAAGGCTCAATATTGGAGTTGTTTTAGTAAAATTCCAGGGAGTCACTTGTTCAAACAAATTTTACTATTTTGTTAATCTTACTGATGAACCAGATGCTCAGGAAAAGACTATTTGGGTGGCAGATTTGAGGGACGGATTGTATTGTAAAAGCTGCCACATGTTTATGGAGCTTTTTTTCTTTTTTTTTAATGCCCATCACGGCCCAGGATGGGGAGGAAATATGACTTGTAAATTCTTAGAGGAAAATAAAAATAATTACCTAGCCAGACCTAGTCCTCAATCTTACTACTATTTCAGCACATCTTTCAGACATGCCAGATCATCTGATATGAAAAAAATGTTCAGGGTTTAGCCCGAATCTCTTTAAGCACTCACACTAAAATTGTTCCCGTTTCTGAGCACTTCCAGATAAGAACCACTAGTTATTAAATTATTAACTTTTGTTCTATTTTAAGCAAAAATACCTAAGTGTGGCTAAATCAAGGTTATAGGAATGTCTTCAGAGAAGCTGAAGGTCAGCTGAGCTGTTTATGTCTTCATCAGATGTACGACTTTTAGAAAAATATTTCAATACCAAAACATAAAGGCACAGGTTTTTATTGCAGGTATTTAGACATCATTCTTCTACAAAGTCCCTGGTCACTAAAAAATTTAATCGCTGTAATAATGGGAACAAAATGAATAAATCTTTACTGGTTATATCAGCCTTTGTAGTAACTTTCCTTTTCCCTCCTTTCCACTCCCCCTGACACATGCTTGGCTCCAATTCATCCTAATTCTCTTATATGATAAATTCCTAAAGCTTCTCGAAGCTCTTGGCAGGGAGAGATGTAATAAAAACAACAGGGGGAGAGGGCATTAGTACTTATAATAACACTGACACCAAATGACTTCCACCAGAGCTGTAAACATGTTCCTAAGGAGGGATTCACCAGGCTGCTTCCTTCTGCCCACAGTTTAGCTCCACAATGGGACACAGAGCGAGAGCAAATGGGGGGAAACAAACACATATCTGCTAAACAAACAGGAAAAAAGCCATGAGCCCAGCAGCCTGCCTCTATGTTGATTTAGCTAGCAAGCAAGGTTTGTGGGCACACATTCGTCCCACCTTCATGTGAAATCCATCCTGCATTGATGAGCCCAAGAACTGCCAGGTTCTGCTGTGTTTTCTTTGGGACCTGTGTGTGCCTGCAGACAGAAAGTCCCCAGCACTCTCTCGCAGCACCTGCACTGATGGAACCTGCAGTTTCTGGCTGCCTTGCCCAGCTTTTACAGGGTGCCTGTGTACATCAAAAAACAAAGGAAGCACAGGTTCTACTGCAACAAGCAGTTTTCCTAGTTCTGTGCTCTTCAATGCAGGGATATGCACAAGCGCTAATAATTATCTTCCCTGAACAGGTGCAAAGGTAAATTACACTCAAAGAAGTGAAAATAATTTGCAGCCCCTCAAAAATCCCAAGCAACCCTAAACTGGAAAGCCCCAAACACAATCAATTAAACAAACAAACACCAAAAAGAAACAAACAAATGCCACAAAAACATGACCAAAGATAACTCTTTGGAAACAGATAACCTGGAAAGACTTAGAAATAAAGAGATA